TTTACTGTTGGGGGGGCTTTAGGGAAATATTTGGGGTCTAAACAGATCCCTAACATTTCCCTTATGAAATAGAAAAAGAGATTGGGGGACACAGAGTCCTCCACCCATACAGATGGGGAGGAGCAGCGACGATCCGAGGAGAAACTGAAGCCTGTGCCGCTCCTCTTCTTCCTTTTGGCCAATGGCGCCCTGTGCTCGCCATGACAACAGGGGTAAGGGAGTGCTGTCAGGCCCGGCCCTGGCTGTGCCCTCTCTCAGCTGCGCCCGAGGCGAGCGCCTCACTCGCCCCATGGTAGCTACAGCCCTGCATGATTCGCAGCGGGATTTGGGAAATCCTCAGTCTGGAGCAGATGGAAGGCAGCACATCAGGGGCAATGGGAGATCAGAACATAGACTGGACCCCCCCAGGGGAGGCCTTTTGGGAATTCGGCTTTTCGGAATCTCGCTCCTTGATCTTTCTATAGGAAGTCGGACTGAATGGGACGAATATACAGAAATCTGTGATGCCAACTGAACGCAGGAACGCATCTCAGCGCCCTACATAGACATAGAACAGAACCGAATCTATAGATCAATGTGTGTGTGCGGCTGGTATCAGATTGGTGACCGTCGTCCCCATCCCCAGGATTCCTCCCCTCCGCACGGCTGGTGTCCGGTCCTGGCCGCAGACTCACTTTGTAGATAGTCAGAGCCTCCCAGGAGGACGGGAAGGAGACCTCCCACCTCGCCCCCGACATTTCCAAACTACTGCAGACCAACGATGGAAAAGCAGCCAGCCAATCAGCTTCTCCCTCTCAGGCCTCCAGTACAGTATATGGGAATGAGGGTCTGAATCTTATTGGCTGCTCTGGGCAACGTCAAGAGCTCTACAGTTCAGAAGAACCGGACCATAAAGTATGAGTGTTCTGTACCAAATGTGCTTTCATGGGTCAGTCCACCCAAAACTCCCACCTGCGTTCTCGTGCAGTGCATGGCTGAGCCATTTATTGTGAACGGCAACCCAAAACATTGTACAGTACAGGAAGACGCAGAACTCCAATTGTTTTCATTCTCCAGAGCTGAAGAAAACTTGTCCATTCTCTATGGCAACATTAAAAGTGGAACTATGGCCTCCCACACACACATGTATACGGTATATACTGCTGTAACAATTATACGTTCATATGACAGTTTTCTCTTAGTCCCCCTGCAAAGGCTCAAAAACACCTATTGGTGCTGCCAGCGCAGTTCCCCTAAGGCAGCTTACTGTGATAGGGTGACAACGATGCTGCACCGCTCCTGAATTCAGAGCAGAGTTGTCACCCTCGAGTAGGCTATGCTTGCTTGTACTACAGTGAAATGAGAAGATGTCATGGAGGGGAGGGGGCGTGTCTATCTGCTGAGTCACAATCCTATAGCTTGTCAGTCACCACCTGGCCACACCCACTGTTTTCTAGATTGAAGGCACTGACTCTGCTGCTGAACCCCTCCCACTGTGAGCTGCAGTGCCTGGGAGGGGGAAGCGTGTGAGACACAAATGAAGAAGGAGTATTTGCTCAGTCAGGGGAGGTAAAAGGTTTTTTGTTCACTTTATGGGGCCTGTGCATCACGCTGTAAACTCAGGACTTGTTTAGACTGTCGCAATGGAGACTTTAGATATACTTTAAGATGAAGCTGGTGACATTTTTCAGACAGAGGAGGAGATCGGCACAGAGGTTGTCACTCAGAGCAAAGCAGCTTCATGATGGTTTCCCTCACTTAGGACTCGTCTGCTTAGCACTGGTAAGGGGTAAAGGTCAATAAAGAAGATGCAGAAAATTTGATTTTAAATGGCATAAAAACAATCCAGAAAAGGGGGCGTGTTTAGGCGGTTTTTTGTGCTTTTTTTAAGCATTTTCTATTTGGTTTATCAGAAACTGTTTTGAACTGAAAACTTAAAAAGGATTTTGTTTTGTTTTCAATTATCTCATTATAAAGACATGTGGAGGAAATTGTTAACAGGGAAGGGAATTATCCGCAGCCTTCCCCGAGGGGGGTGTACAAAGCGTGGCTTGGGCTCTCCGCTGCCCTGGGAACCGGGAGACCCGCATACAGATCTCAGGGAAGATCTACAAAGGGGGACCGAGCCTCATTTAACCCTGCGCAGCCTGAGAATCTCACAATGCAGAGCACCTTGCTGACATCCATTAACGAAGAACTGTGCTGTGGGAGCTGTGCCCCAAAACAGGAAGACAGAGCACAAAAGGACCAGTCACCAGTATTGCCTGTGACCTCCCTGCAGATGATCTGTCCTCCATTACAGTGCCCCCCCCCTCCCCCCGATGACGGGTGAACTAATAACTGGAGATCTGATGACCGGCGATCTGGTGGCTTGTTATTTAGTGACGGGTGATATGCTGACGGGTGATCCGATGCCGGAGATCTAATGACGGGTGATCTGGTGACGCATGATTTGGTGATCTGGTCACGTGTGATCTGGTGACGGATGGACAGTTGGATAAATGGCTCTATATTTAGGATGTATCTGGTCTATAAATGGCGGCTCTGGATGGACAGTTGGATAAATGGCTCTATATTTAGGATGTATCTGGTCTATAAATGGCGGCTCTGGATGGACGGTTGGATAAATGGCTCTCTATTTAGGATGTATCTGGTCTATAAACCAGAGGTTCTGAATAAATGGTTGGTCACAGAGGCGGAAGGAATGATTTGCATGTCTCCGCCCACTATCCTAAAGTAAAGATTACCATGAAACTCTTCTGCATTGTCAGGTCCTAATATCTTTGTAAATCAGGAGGAAACAAAAAAACAATGTGCAGGATGAAGCGTGTCCTCTCTATACAGACAGATACTATGTTACCCTTCAGAATAAGTACAGTACAGCTCTGTCGGTCCTCGCTCCGGCTGCGCACTCATCCTCACAGCTTCCTCAGTATCAGCATTTGGTGACTAATTCGCAGACGGCGCTGGCAGTGATAATTATCAGGGGTTATAGAGACCGTGTGATTTATCAATGTGGGAACCGAGAGGATTTGCCTCCGCAAACAGATCACAGAATGTCCTCGGCCACTGAGCGCAAACACCTTCCCGATCTTACCAACACCCCAATATCAGCCCACACCAGAGAGGAACCGCTTCTAACTCTTCTGTACCTCTGAGGGTGCCTATCAGGAGCTGCTGGGACTTGTAGTTTAGAGGCAGCTTGGGAGATGCGGCTTATAGGTTTGTAAGGCAAAGGGATCCCTTTAAGGTAGCTCAACACTAACACTCTCTGTGACATGAAACAATTGACGCTAAATTAAAAGTTTCATCACATCATAGTGGCGACGTTTTTCGGAGCCACGTGATCCCTTCCTCAGGCAGAGAGTGTTTGCCCGAGGAAGGGAACACGTGGTTTCCGAAACGTCGCCGCTACGATGTGACACTTCAGCGACTAGAAATCAAGTTGGAGGGCGAGTGACTTTTCTTCATTTATCAGGGGAAAGACCTTCCCCATTCGTCAGGGCTTTATTATTATGATTATACGGGATTTATATAGCGCCAACAGTTTGCGCAGCGCTGTACAATATAAGGAAGACATTACAATCACAATACAATTCAAGACAAGATGGTAAGGAGGGCCCTGCCCCTGAGGGCTTACAATCTAAAAGGGGAGGGGCCAGTGATACATGAGGAGGGAGCTGTGTGGGGGGATGAATTGTATGAGAACGTGATGGTTGAGCGGTTAGGTTGAGGTGGGATAGACTTCCCTGAAGAGATGAGTCTTAAGGGATCGCCTAAAGGCACTTAAGGTGGGAGATAGACGGACAGGTTGGGGTAAAGAGTTCCAGAGGATGGGAGAGACTCTAGAGAAGTCCTGGAGGCTTCATTATCTACATTATCTTCATGATCTATTCATTACTCATTATCACTGAGCTGTCCCTAAACCCGGAGGGATGCTTTGCCTTACAAACGCCGTACACAGTAGATCCAATATATTACATTATCTACTATCTTCTCAATCAAACTGCTTTCTTTACATTGTTATCAATTTCCTCCTAATCAGTTGACATAGTCGTTATCCTCCTAAACGTGCGACGGGCAACAAGCAGAACTATAAGTCTCAGAATGCCCTGCCAGTCAAAGAGATCACTCAGATAAGGAATGCTGGAGCTTGGAGCCCCCCGCCCCCCCCCCCCCCAAGAATCAGGCAAGTGACTGTTTGCCTATCACTTCTTCTATCAGGCCTTGTTCACACCAAGCGTGTTCCAGGAACAGTTACAGACCGGATCAGAACTGCGTCCAATGTATTCCAAATGGTATTTTGGGCTCTAGTTCACACCGCAGCGTTCAGTTCCAGAGCATGTAAAAAAAAACAACTGCAGCAAGCCCTATTTTACCTGCTCTGGAACGCATGCAAACGCATCAAAACGCCCTGGAACGCACTGAAAGCCCATTCTAAACTAAAAAAAGAAAGAAAAAAAAGGATTTTATTTATTTATTTTTTAACCAAAAACGGCCCGGCACGCATCAAAAACGCGGCAAAAACCCACTGCACTGGTTGCGCAGAAACTCATGCAGATCTGGTCTGCATTTGGTGTGAACAAGCCCCAAACCTGAGGCAATGAAAGGTAGGAACAAGCAAGAGAGAGCAATGCAACTGTAACTGAAAGCTGTCTGTAGAAGGAAAAGACATAAATGCAACAATGTATAAACTGCAGGAACTGATAGCAAAGCCGATTTCACTCTTCTGAAGCTCGGACACTTTATACTTTGCTCTTTTCCTCATTATAAGTTAGTTTAATGCGTTAACATAAGTACCTGGAAATAACCGCAGTAACGGTCACCATGCAGCAAGGGAGAGCTCTATGCTAAATGTCCTAATTCTACACAGACAGGTGCAGAGACACAATGACAGGCAAGAGACACAGAAGACGGGTACAACAGGCTGCTTCTATACAATTCATTGTTAGCTGAAGAAGAAGGATGGAGTCATCAGAACAGTAATAGAATATAAAAAAAAAAGTATATTATGGAATTACCTTCTTGAGCGAGAACGATGAACTTGGAGGACTTTATGACTTTGCCGTCGAGAGTCCACGTCGCGGTGGGTGGTGGCTCTGAGGTGACCTGGCACTGTAGGAGCAGCTTCTCTCCATCCACCAACTTTAAGTCCTGCAAAACTTCGGAGAAGACCGGAGGAGTCCCCGAGCTTTCTTCAGCCTTGTTCTCCACTTCTCCGTCCACCACCGACACGCAGTTCTGCTCCACTTTCTCCTCCTTGGCCAGCGGCGCTGCATTTTCCACCGCGGGTTTGGCGTTCTGCTCTGCAACAGGTGGCTTTGCGCTCTCTTCTTTCACTTCGGGCTTAGAAATTTCTTCCTTTGCGGCCGGTTTTGCCTTTTCGTCCAAAGTTTTTGCCTTTTCCTGGTTGACTGCTGGTTTTGCATTTTCCTCCTTGACTGCAGTTTTTGGCTTTTCGTCTTTGACAAAGGGTTTTGCTTTCTCTTGGTTGACTACTGGCTTTAGTTTGTCTGGTATTGCCGCTGGTTTGGCATTTTCCTCTTTGCCCAGTGGCTTTAATTTGTCTTGAAAGGGCGCGGGCTTGGCATTTTCCTCCTTGGACACCGGCTTTAGTTTTTCTTGGAGGAATGCTGGCTTTGCATTTACCTCCTTGCCCACTGGCTTTAGTTTGTCTTGAATGCCCGTTGGTTTGGCATTTTCCTCCTTGCCCACTGGCTTTAGTTTGTCTTGAATGCCCGTTGGTTTGGCATTTTCCTCCTTGCCCACTGGCTTTAGGTTGACTACTGGCTTTAGTTTGTCTGGTATTGCCGCTGGTTTGGCATTTTCCTCTTTGCCCAGTGGCTTTAATTTGTCTTGAAAGGGCGCGGGCTTGGCATTTTCCTCCTTGGACACCGGCTTTAGTTTTTCTTGGAGGAATGCTGGCTTTGCATTTACCTCCTTGCCCACTGGCTTTAGTTTGTCTTGAATGCCCGTTGGTTTGGCATTTTCCTCCTTGCCCACTGGCTTTAGTTTGTCTTGAATGCCCGTTGGTTTGGCATTTTCCTCCTTTCCTGGCTTCAGCTTGTCTTGAATGGCCGCTGGTTTGGCGTTTTCCTCCTTGGGCACCGGTTTTACCTTCTCCTGAAGGAACGCTGGTTTTGCCTTCTCATCCTTGGCAACTGATTTTAGCCTATCACCAAACGGTTTAGCATTTTCATGAGGCTCCACGTTGTTGGCGCTGCCATTTTCAGTGGGCCCTTTCTTTTTGCTGCCCAGAACAGACCTGAAGTCGGGGGTGGCTACTTTGGCCGGCGCCTTTTCTGCTACGGGGGTCTTTGGAGGAACCGAGCCCTTTTTCCCCAGGACGGAGCGAAAATCCACCTGCTGGGTGCTGTTGCCCTTTTTGTCATCCTCCACCGAGGCCTTAGGCTTGACCTGCCGCTGAAGGTTAGCTCTGAAGTCCATCTGTTCAGCCGACACCTCCTTCAGGTTCTCTTCTGAAATGCTTTTGGTGCTGACTTTCCTTCCCAGAACCCGGCGGAAGTCCACTTGCTCTGCCTCTTGCTGTCGGAGTCTTTCCTCGCTGTGCTCCTTCACCTCGACTCTCCTTTTCAGTACGCCGTGGATGGTCTCTTGATCTTCTCTTTGGGTGACCCCTTCAAGTCTATGCACATCTACACCTCCATCTCTCTCCGCAAATCCCAGCTGCTCCCTGTGCCTGTGTGTCAACCAGAGAGAGAAAAAAAAGAGAAAGAGGCACTTAAGGAGGTTTGGCTTGCAAATCAAACAATTTGTGTGAGGAAGAGAAGTCCTAGGGGAGGGAAGTCAGATCAGAAAACAATCCGTTTCTTTATTGCATCAGTGATGACTTCAGTGGCCTTATAAGGGAAAGA